TTGGGGGAAAATTGTACTTTATCAGTAATGATCAAAGTTATAAAAATACTACAATCAACTTTGTACTACTGAAGTTTATCAGTAATGATCAAAGTTATAAAAGTTATAAAAATAGTGCAATCAACTTTGACTATAAAAATAGTGCAATCAACTTTGTATGTCTCTATATGTATATAAAATTTGTGTTGCCCACATATTTTAGAAAGAAAGAGATTCCTGTGAATTCAACTGAAAATTTTAAATCTATTGCTGTTGCTTACATTGTGTCCATGAAAAATGTTCAGTGATTTCATGTCTTACGCTTTTCGAACTGAGAATTTTTTTTATATTCAGTAAAGTATTTCATTATAGAAAAATATGGGTCTTCTAAGAAAACTAGAAACTTAATACTAAGAGAACTTGTTTAAGATGCCTGTGATAATACAAAAGTAACAGTTCTTTCTAAACATAATTACTTTATATTGCAGTGCAATATATAGGGAGTCAATTTAATTTTTTGATGATGTTTCACTTTTTTAGTGACTTCCTTAAATTTTATTACCACCATTTGACTTATTTCTCCATTTTAATAATTATTACTGGCATCAAGTTTAAACAGCTTAGGAGAATAAGGGAGATGTTTTGGAAGTTATGTTTTAAGATGTATTTTAAAAGATCTAATTAAGGAAAAAGTCCTCCTATCCATTAGAAAAATATTTTTTATTTGACAATATACTATTAAGTTATAAATGATCACTCTCTAAGTGATTTTTAGCTGGATTTTTTAAGTTAACATGTTAAGATACTGTATTTTACATGATTGTAAATATATTTAATGCTGCTTATTCAAATAAGCCCAAGGGTTCCATATTCTGAAAAGAACCAACTTTCTGACCATTTAATTAGCATTAAGCAGGATTTAAATATGGATGTCTTAAAACTGAACATCCTGGAGAGCATAAGTTATCCAAATACTATAAAATGAAGGAGAAAACCTCACCACTGGTGAAGAAAATTAAAGCAATAAGAAACAAGAAGAAATGACTACATCTCATAATTGTTAATCATTTGGACTCTAATGACAGTGGTGACATTGCGACATTCTTCCTGGGAAGTTCCGACCTACTCATGCATGGATAGCAGCAGCCTGCCAACTGGCCATCTTTGAGGTTTTGAGCACAGTTCAATTTATTTTATTTTTTGTGTTTTCAGATGACTATACCTAGCAGAGTGTCAGTTTTTCTTACAGACACTAAACATTTTTAGATAATTGATAATAATTCAGTTTACTTGCAAGTTAATATGTTTCCATATCATATCGAAAACTTGATTCTGGTTTATTTCTGCTCTTGGCACATTTTGCGGGCATTCCTGGTTTTCTGCTCACTGAGCTTAGGTCAGTGGTTCTCAGAATCTGTCATGCATCAGGAAGTTAGTGAAACATTGCTGAGCCACAGGCAGAGTTTCTGATTCAGTAGGTCTGGGATGGGGCCTGAGAATCTTCGTTTCTAACAAATCTGTGGATGATGCTGATGGGTTTGGTCCAGAACTACATTGGAGATCTGCTGGTGTATTTTTTTTCTTTTCTTTTTTTTCAATTAAATTTATTGCGGTGACAATAGTTAATATGAACATATAGGTTTCAGGTGTGGGATCTGCTGGTTTAGTTGCATTTCAAGAGAACTACATGATTCTGGCATAAGAAGACCAGGAGCAGTTTATAGCATTTGTTACATAGACGTGTCTTTATAAGAGTGGTTGACTTGGTTCGAAGGAGAAAAGCATAGAGAAAAAGACAAGTTTGAAATAGAAAGGGAAGTTGAGAGAGTAAAAAAAAGAGATGAGGGACGGTCAGAGGGGCAGAATGGAAGTGGAGAAACATAAAAACAATGACAGGAAGAGAGAGAGAGAATGGCCCGCAAACCTACAGAGACTGGAGAAAACATTGGGAGAAAGAGAAAGTCAAAGAGGTGGGAAAAAAAGAAACCACTATGGATAGACACATCTCTAATCTGATTTTTGTTCTGATTAAGTATTGCTTTTATAAAAGTTAAGCTCCTGCTTGTCATCAGAATTTAATTCTAAGTATAAAGAAATAGGGCTTAATGTTTTTTTCCTAGTGTTATAGTCTCTCTATTAAAATTCACCAGGCCCTGGCCAGGTAGCTCAGTTGGTTAAAGTATCATCCTGATATGCCAAGGTTGTGGGTTTGATCCCCAGTCAGGGATCATATAAGAATCAACCAATGAATGCATAAATAAGTGGAACCACATATCAATGTTTACTTCTCTCTCTTTCTCTCTCTCTCTCTTTCTCAATAATAAATAGAAAATTTAAATAAATAAATAAATAAATAAATAAATAAATAAATAAAATTCACCAGGAATCAGAGTAATGAATATAATTAAGGGCCAAATATACAAATCTACATACTTCATCTTCACTCAAAATAAACTATAGTTATACTTTCAGAGGTGGGGAAGCTTACCCACACCTCCTGACTATTCTAGAATCAGTAGAATACACCCTCCCCACCCCCCTACATTTACATTTAACTACAAAATCAAGAGTGTAGAAAACTATCACTCCTTCAGATATCAGCTACTGTTTCAATAAGATAGTAAACATACAAACCATGATTATTCTTAGAAGTACTTAAATTGTTTGACAGGAAAAAGTCCTGCAGCTGGAAACTCTGAGTCATTGAGAGTCAACATTAATGTTTGGGAAAAGCAATTTTAATAGTAACTGTGGTAGAATTTACAAATGTGGCTGCTATTGTTGCCCTCCCTCAACCCCAGGCACTTGCATGTGACTTTGCAGCTCCTCTCCGCAGGAGGAGGGGTCCATCTCACTTCTTGAAACAGGTCTGGCCTGGGGACTTGCCTCAGTAGGGATTGTGGTGGAAATGCCACATGCCATTCCTGAGCCTAGGCCTCAAGAGGCCTTGCAGACTTCTGTTCCACTTCTGGGTGCCATGTGTCTACCATGAGAACAAGCCTGGCTTGGACTGCTGGAGGACCAGAACTGAGTCACCCGGTTGTCTCAGCCAGGGTCCCAGGCATATGCAGAAAACTGCACAGCTGGTCTCAGACAAACAAACCCAGCCTGAGTTGCTGACCCACAGAACTGCTAGCTGAATAAGTGGTCACTACTTCTTTAGTCACTCAGTTTGTAATATAGTTATAGCTGACTGATACACCAGTTAACATTTATTGAATGCTAACTTTATGTTAGATACTCTGCTAAGCATCTTGGATACATTATCTTATTGAATTTTCTTAACAACCCATGAATATAGATACTCTTATTATCCCCACTTTGCATAAAGAAAACAGCCATTTTTACCTTTCTTACAGGCAGAATTTATGCCCACGCCTCCCGAACCTGATCACTACATTCCAAAGCCATATTGCCTCCATTGGAATTTGCTGGCTAGTGAATCCTGGGAAATCTAGATAACTTTAAGGATTATTAGTTTACAGATTGTTACTTGGTCTTTTCAAACTTAGCACTAAGGCAAGAGTTCCCATACCTTTTTCACAGAGAAACTACTTTTGGAGGTGAATTTGCTGCTCCTACCAGGTTCCCTTTTCTGCTTCCTGCCACCATTTCAATCGGCTGGGAGCTTGCAGGTCGCTCTCCCTATCTGAGCTGGTAGCAGGCTAAGGGGAAAGTGGCCAGCAGCGAGCAGAACACTTTTATCTTAGTTAAAAATTTTTTTGTGTAGCATTGTTATTTTAACAAGATGATGTATCTATATCTATCTATCTATCTATCTATCTATCTATCTATCTATCTATCTATAGAAGAGAAAATATATATATAGGCATTTAAATCAAAGGTAATTATAGCTTAAGCTCAGCAGTTTAGTTGCTTGCTCTTGGGTTACTGCCACCACCTAGAGACAGTGTTCCAAGAAATTTAATTTCTTCAAGGTGGTGCATTAGAAAGTCTTTGATACTTGAGGGAGAGATAAAAGCAAGGCCTTTTCAGTGTAATAGTTTTTTATGCAACACTAACAATTGTCCTGCTTGTCTTTGTTGTCCAAAAATAGTACCCTATTTTCCCATGAGTGAGAAATCTCATTATTTTACATTATTAACCAAAGCTCATTTTCCAGTGAGTCAGATCTAGCCAACTCAATTTATAAATTTGTGTTTTTGAGGCTTCAGACATTTGAAAAAATCCTGACTGATAACCTAGTTTTCCCAGACATATTAATTAGCCAGAGCTTTATAGGGCCATAAATATATAGGGTGTTCCCCCCAAAATGTATATACAATTTAATAGCTGATAGGTCAGTTTTGAAAATGAATTGTATTTTAGTAAATACTGCTTTTATAATTATTCAGTGTGTGTATACATTTTGGGGGGACATCCTATAGTTGTTAGTTAAATAGTGGGTAAGCTGTTTTTTGTTTTTAGTGTTTTTCTTTTTTTCCTTTTTTAGGATGTCTCATTTCTCTTTCATAACCACTGGAGGCAAAAGATAAGAAAGAAAAACAGCAGAAATACTTAGAGTACCTGCTATATGCCTGCACCCTTCCAATCCATTACACTTAATCTTCCCAAATTCTTTTAGTGTAGGCACAATTTTTGAACCCTTTTACAGCATGAGGAAACTGAGGCAAAGAGAGGGTAATGAGCATTCTCAAGTATATATAATTGGTTACTATTGTATTCAACTTCAAACCAGGCAGTCTGACTCCAGCGCCCATATTCTCAATTTCTATACCATTCTGCCTCAAAGACATTAACCGGGAAGGTTTGCACATTAAAAAATTTACTATGTGCACAATCACTACTTTCCTGAAACACTGGCTGTGATACTAATACATAGAAAAGAATGGATATTCTAAGCTAATGAAATAAATGTACGATTTCCTTAGGTGCCATATATTTTGTATTTCAACGTAGTTTTCCCATTTCTGTTTTTGTTATAAGAGGTCTCAGCGGCTTCACTGTCAGTCAGTCCTTTTGCCCCAGATTCTTGCTGTGACCACAGGCTCTTCACTCACCACAGTTGTCCTCGTCGGCCTGGTTCCCACAGTCATCCACTCCGTTACAGTGAAGATACTGAGGCAGGCACTTGGTGATATTCCCGCAGGGGAAATAGCCGAGGGAGCACTTGACATCCTGTCCACTGCCATGAGAAACTGTGATGAAGAAAGGGGAGAAAAGGTGAGTATAAGGCATTGCAGAAAAGCTGTTTCCCCAATACTGTGTAACCATTTGGTCTTTTCACCCTGGCATGGACCCTCCACACGGCAGCCTCACCTTGCTTACTAGCCTGACAGCAACATTTTCCAAGAACATCCACTCCAATAGAATATTCTTTTCTAGATGATGCCAGGAGTCTCCTCTCTTTGCCTTTTTGAATACTGTTTCCCACCTGGAATGCCCTTCCCAATCCTCATTTTCTTCTATAAAATGCCTGCCAATATTTTATAGTTTAGCTCAACTCCTCCTTTCTCCTTCAAAATTGTCTTAGACAATCGTCTTAAAAATCAGGAACTTATTGCATTCTTATTATTAGCTCAGAATCAAGGCTGATCTGGTACCAGAGGAGGAGGAAGGCACAGAGGATATACTGACTGCACATGCCATGTGCTTATTCACATACTGGACAGTCCCTAAGTGTGAGGCCCTGTGCAGATGTGTTGCATGAAACAAACGGAATTCCTGCTCTTTTCAGATTGGCTTCTTTCACTCAGCAGCATGTATTCAAGGTTCCTCCATTTCTTTCATGGCTTAGTATCTCATTTGTTCTTAGTGCTGAACAATATTCCATTGTTTGAATGGACCACAGTTTATTTATCCATCTACTTACTGAAGGACATCTTGGTTGTGTCCAAGGTTTGGCAATGATGATAGCTGCTTGACACATCCCTGTGCAGTTTTTCATGTGGACAAAAGTTAACTATGCCATTTTAAAAGATTTACATAATTTCAAAGGTTACTGCAGACTCCAGTATAATTCTGTTGCTTACTGTCCTTTCCAAGTGTGTAAATCTTTGAAGTTTTCTAGAAAAACTGTCAATTATAAAGAAATAAAAGCAGAATAGTTTGAACAGTCAATAAAGCTTATTATGTAAAAATATATTTGTGGTCTATCATTAACCCATGAAAGGAATAAGAGTGTCTATTTACTTTGTAAGGTACTGTGGGGCATTTTGATAATGCGGCAAATGGCATCTTATAGAGAAACAATTTATGTCAGGCTTTGCCTGTACTTAGCTATTTCAAAGCACATAATTTGATGAATAGTGAAATCTATGTAATAATGAGCTGTGTTGTAAATAGTTTCTCACATATCAAATTATTTTAAAATTATTTATCAATATTTTTTCAACAAATTGACCTAAGTCAAAACAAAGGATTTTTATATCACAGGACATAGCTGGTAGAACATCACACATTTCAGAGACTTCAAGTGCACGTGCATATAAATAAATTGATCTCTGTTGAAATGGACTTTTTATATATTTATTAAGAAATAAATAATCAGAAAAATTCTTTGCTGAATTGTCAACCTTCAGCCATATTTACTGTTCATTGGTTTATTTTGTTCACTAGATTCCACATATGAGTAAGATCATGTGACACTTGTCTTTCTCTGACTGGCTTATTTTGCTTAGCATAATTCTCTCCAGGTCCCACTTTCCTGTCTCAGAGGGTAAGGGATCCTTTGCTTTTACAGATGCATAGTATTCCATTGTGTAAATGTCTGAGAGGATGCTTGATATGATTTCAATCTTCTTGAACTTGTACAGACTTGTTTTGTGTCCTAACATGTGGTCTATCTTTGAGAATGTCCCATGTGCACTTGAGGAGAATGCCTATTCTGTAGCTTTGGAGTGGAATGTTCTGTAAATGTCAATTAAATCCTCTGATCTAGTGCGTCATTTAGAATCACTGTTTCCATGTTGACTTTTTTTCTGGAAGAACTATCCAGTAAAATCAGTGGGGTGTTAAAGTCTCCTACTATGACTGTGTTGTTGTTAATCTCTCCTTTAAAGTCCTCCAGAAGTTGGTTTTGTGGGTTTTTCCCCCCACCTGTATGAGTCGTTTGTTCTGAGGTGTGTATCTTGTAGACAGCATATATTTGGGTCTTGTTTTCTTATCCATTTTGATTGGGACATTTAATCCATTTATATTTAAGGTTATTATTGATAGGTATTTATCTATTGCCATTTTACTTCTTTATGTCTATGTTTCTCATTCTATTTCAACTTCTTATTACAGCAGTCCCTTTAACAGTTCTTGCAATGTTGGTTTGGTGGTGATAAATTCCTTTAGCCTTTTTGTGTCTGGGAAGCTCTTTATTTCACCATTTATTTTGAATGATAGCCTTGTCAGATAGAGTATTCTTGGTTTCAGATCCTTGTTTTGCATTACCTTGAATACTTCATGACACTCCCTTCTGGCCTGTAGACTTTCTGATGAGAAATCAGCTGAGCCTATGGGAGCTCCTTTGTATGTAACAGATAGCTTTTCTCTTGCTGCCTTTAAGATTCTCTCTTTATCTTGCATTATTGACATTTTAGTTATGATGTGTCTGGGCATGGGCCTCTTTGGGTTCTTCTTGCTTGGGACTCTCTGTGTCTCCTGAACTTGCGTGACCTTTTCCTTCATCAGGTTAGGGAAGTTTTCTGCCACTATTTCTTCAAACAGGTTCTCTAACCTTTGCTTACTTTCGACCTCTTCTGGCACTCCTATGATGTGAATATTGTTACATTTCACGCTGTCCTACAGCTCCCTTAAAAGGTCTTCCTGTTTTTTAATTGTTTTTTTCTTTTTGGATCTCTGATTGAGTGATTTTTTTCTATCCTGTCTTCCGATTTGCTGATCTGATCCTCAGCTTCCTCTAATCTGCTGTTCATTCCTATGTTTTTTTTAAATTTCTGTCATTCTTAATTTTCTCCATAGTTTCTATATCTTTTTTCATGCTGTTGAGCATCTTTATGATCAGTATTCTGAACTCTATATCTGATAGATTGCTTATCTCCATTTCATTTAGCTAGGCTTCTGGAGAATTCTTTTGTTCTTTCATTTGGGGCTTATTTTTTGATCTCTTCATTTTGACTGCCTGCTTGGATTTGTTTCTATGTATTAGGTAGATTTCCTAGGACTTCTAGTCTTTTGGATGGTCTCTGGCACAGGCCAATGTCAGATGCTGTTTGTGACTGGGCTTGAGTACCCTGTTTGAAGTTTTCCACACTCTACAGCTTCTGGTTTCCTCTGCCAGGGCTGGGTGTGTTTGGACACAACCAAGATGTGCACTAAAGTCTGCTTTTCCAATCCCTGGGTCCAGAAGTAAATCAGGCAAAGAGTCAAAGCAGAGGCTGTTATTCAGTCTCTTAATGAGCCTCAGGCCGTAGAAACTCCACAGGGTGGGACCAGAGGTTTTTCAGCAGGGGGGGCAATTGTGTCCCCCCCACTCTCCCAGGCAAAAGCTGCTTGGAAGGTAAATGTCTACGTGAGAAAGATGTCCTCTGTTGTATGGGGCAATGACTCAGCACCAGGGTCCAGATGGGTGCCCTCTGAGATCTAGTCTCCTAGCCAGGCCCCTGGATTCTCCTCATACTGCTCTATTCCACTCTGCCTTCTCTTCACCAGAGTCCAAGGTGAGTGCCTGAACACAAAACTTCGTGCATTGGCCCTTTAAGAGGGTGCCTGCATTTCTAGCCATCTCTCCCTGGCAGACAGAAACCCTGCTGCTTTTCACAGCCAGATGTTATGTGGGTACCTTTCTCAGTTCTGGTGCTTTTGGCTGGGAAGCCTAGCCTGGGGTTTAAGCCCAGGGTCCTCAGTGGGAACCCCCAGAGCTGAGATATCCCTCTTGACCTTCAACTGCTGCCTGTGGGAGCCCAACCAGCCCTCTCACGCCTCCACACTTCCTACCAGTCTCTGTGTGATCTCCACTTTTTGTCCTTGGTTATGAGGGTGCTCTCCAGCTAGTCTTCAGTTGTGGTTGATTATTCAGAATGGTTTTTCTATATTTTAGTTGTAATTCCAGTTTGGTCCTGGGAGAGTGTCACTGTAGTTTGCACTCAATTCACCGCCATCTTGGATTGGGGGTATTTTAAAACTATATAAAAATCCATTCATCAAAATCTCAATTGATTAATTTATTTCTATCAGATGGATTGATAGTTTTCTATTTTATTCAATGGGTTATAATTCACTAACCATCATCACTAAATTTGGATGTTCAAATTGTCCAAGATTCGGCCAGCGGGAGCTAGTTCAACCTATCTTTGGCATCCTTTTGATATTTTCCATCGTTCTTTAAGTATTTCCTTGATTTCTGGCATAATAAGATGTTTTAGGATCATCTTTACTTTCTCTGCCATGGCCCTAGAATCAGTCATTTTTCTAAGGACCTCTGGTTCCTTTTATGGTAGAATGATATTTAGAAGCCAAGGTGTAGACTCTAGGTATGTTCATTGATATTGGGGTATCCCTGCTACCAGGCTACCTCAGTGGCCAGACTAGAAAATACATGCATAGTTATATATACATACACACATTTATATCTATTTTTATTTCTCTATATATCACTAGATATAAAAACTATAATTTCAAATCCTATTCCTAGCCAACCTTATAAGGTTCAGTCTAGTTTTCTCCCTTTACATATCAGTAACTCCCTTCTCTTACAGTGAGAAATCAGCTTTTAATTATTTTTATAGTTATCATCTTGACAAATCCTCTTCCTGCATGGATGCCCTCACAACCCCATTCAGCTCTGATTCCCTATACTAGTCATCTTTCCTATGTGAGCATTCTCCTTGCCCTGTTTGGGATCTGATACACAGTGCTAGGCTCTCTCTGTGGACACACTCTTTGCCCCAATGGGGCTCTAAACTTCCTCTCTGGGCTACCACAGCTCATTTATCATCCCAGCACAGATGAATACCTTTTTCTGATTTGCCAAATGGTTTTAAGACTCAACTGTTGAGTAAGAGAAGTGGTGGAGTAAGGGGCCAGTAAGTAATGTTTACAGGAAAATTTTAGAGAAGTTGAAAGGGATCAGAATATGCCACCTAAAAATATGCCACTTTGGCATAAAGATTATTTTGAACTGAAGGTAACTGAGAAAAGGCAAACACTGGAAGAGCTCTCTGCTTTTCCCTCTATTGGCCTAAAAGTA